ATCATATGCCGAGAGGCCAGATGTATACATGGCCATTCGCGCAACTGAGAGTTTTAAGCTTATGTATGATGCATAGGTAGCGAATTTGCAGAGTGGGGCCGTTTTATTCCTGTGAATTGTAAGCTAATTAATGGTATTCCAGCTCAAAGTTCCTTTTCACGTCACTAATACTCACCGCTTATAAAAAAAGAATTTTAATAATATAAAATACATGCCATAACTAACACCCAAACGTTTGGTGCTCTGCGGCAAAGCCGCTATGACGAAGACGTCGGCTCGCTCCGAGTGAAGGTTTGTCGTAGCTTTTCCCGCTTGGAGGTCATATGGAGGTCATAACTAACGCTCAAAACGTTTGGTGCTGTACGGCAAAGCCGCCTTGACAAAGACGTCTGCTCGCTCCGAGTGAAGGTTTGTCGTAGCTTTTCCCACTTGGAGGTCATATGTTACTCAATCTTTTGCCATCACAGCTTAGTTCAAGTCACTGTAAAGTGCCACGGGGAGTTAAAAAAAAAATAAAAGATGGAGTTTTTTAAATATCGACGCCCAATCTTGCCACATTTTGAGAAATCAGCCGCATTTCCGCGCTGATAACAAAAATATATTTAAGGGTGGGCATACTATCTTTATATATTCGTAAAGAATATTTAAATACGCGCATTTTGATATGTTTCATGAAGTATTATGAAAGATGGTTTATTTGCAAAAAAATTGTGAATATGTCTCTAAAACGCGTTTTTGTGCCATGTTTGGTATTTTTGTTTGCATTGAAATAATTTATGGATATTTTTAATTGTTTGTGTATGTGTTGTATAACTTTTGTAAAACCTATTAAAAAAGTTATGGTGCCGTGAAAGGTTCGATAAGGAAATGACGACTGTGCAAAGTAGCATTGTGAAATCTTCTCAATTTCCACGCCTCAAGCTTCTCTATTTTATATCTCAGCGAAAAAAATTGTTACGGCGTTCATATCTAGCTGAATGTTCCTCCCAAGAACATGGCTTTCATATATATTTTTAACAAAAATATCTAAATTATGACCCGGACCATCATTGCATGAATAGACATGGGAATCACCCAGGTATGCTTCCCTCCGCAAGAAAAGATTTCTCCCCGCTTCACTGTCTAGAAACATGAGCAGCTTGCATGCAAGGGGGGTGCTATAAGAATAATGGGATGGGGTAATTTGAGATCCACTAAATTCCGGCCCCTATCGCCAACTTGTGCGTCTTGCAAACATTGCTCAAGACCGACAAATGGAATGAAACTTTGTCGATTGAATGTATGCCTATGGAAGGCGACAAGTATTTCACCATGAAGTTAGGGTGCCCTTTACTCTTTTCATTTGGTTTTCCAATGCCAACCCTCTTCGACAGCTAGGCCGAAGGTTTCCAGCAAGACTCACACTTTGCTAATTGTAACTGATTTCATCTGGAGCAACCCAGTGTCTATAAATGTTGCTGTGGAACTATAAATGCTGTAATGTGCACTTGCTGGTCATTATTTTTACACCCTGCACACACAAGCCAACATGACCACATCCATCATCTGCTACACGAAGCACACGTAAATCAAGCATAATAAGAATGCAAACTGCGAATACAAAACAAGATTGTGGAGCCAGGAATCCTTTCAATGCAACCAGGCACTGAGTGAACATCTGCTAAATACATTTTAATTGGGACGTAAAATTTCCTCGTCGTAAAAAAAACAAACAAAAAAAACATTAGGAATACAAATACATAAAAATATAACTGGGTCATTATTATAGAACAGCTGAAAATTGGCACAAGACTACTATAACGATACGGCGGTGTAAGAGGACCTGAGCTGTTATGTTTTCAGTATTAATAAAGTGACATTACATGTTGGCACAATGTTGGTGCAAATTCATCATATTTTGATTAACTGTAGCAGGGTAAGCAGCAGGGTAAGCAGTTCGGAGCAGTTTGGCACAAATGGTGCAGCAATCGCATCACTGGGCACAAACTAGTAAGTACAGCATAACCAAAATGAACCCAAAAAGCCCATCATAGACGGTCTTTTTCTCAATGACCAAAATAGACATTTGGGTTTTCAAGCCACTGTCAAAGCTGTTCGCAAGGCAAAATAAGAAAGCTTGTGGCATTATTTCAGTCCCGTGACAGCTGGAATACACAAACTGAAAATACCAAGACAGCATGCTCTCCAGACAATCCTTGCAATTTATTTGTATTAAAATTAGTGTATTATATTCCGACTGTGGCAAATGCTAGCCAGCATATTGCCAGGAGTTGGGATACCTCGCCTACCTGACGAGGCAAAATTTCAAAACTATCAGAACTTATCCAAACTTTCCGGCATTCTTCTTAATCTTTCGAAACCGATTATAGAAAAAAATTGAGTCACATTTCTAGTTTACACTGAATGAGGCCACTAAGCTAGACAAGTGGAATAATGCAGTATGTTTCAGCAATTGCCCCTTAGAATGCAAGAGAAAAAACATTATTCCTCTTCTAAATTAATAAATAAACTTATGTGTTACTCGATGGGTTCTCAAACTGGGTTCTGCGAAACACAGGGGTTCCACGAGCTGGTCTCATGGGTTCTGCGAAACACAGGGGTTCCACGAGCTGGTCTCATGGGTTCAGCGAGGACCCAAATGCAGTACCCCACCCCCCTTCCCACAGACTGAGCCATGGAGTGAGTTGGTGTTGCAGACAAAGCAACCTCACCGTTTGCACTAATATGTATACCGTAAAATACCGAGCAAGCGACCACTCAAAATTTAAAGATAATCGCGAAAAAATGGGGGATGGGCGCTTGTCCGGTCATCAATTTTATATACAAATGTACTGTGCATATTTTCTCAGACTTTAGAAATTTGGATATGGGTGCTTAAAGGGGCACTGACACATCAAAATCATATTTTTTTTTATTATCCGAAACGGTCGAAAACGATGCCGGGACATTACCCTCAAAATTTGAAATTTGGGAATTCAGTATTCGTGAAGTAAAAAAACAATTTCCAAATGCCGAATTCGAAGTTCCCGCGCGATCGGCGCCGGTGCCTTGACGTCAAAAATTGCGGAGACCTGAGAGTCTCCTTTCCTGTCACCACTCCCTGCTGTTGCCATGGCGACCCAAAGCGAGGAGGAAAGGAGCGAGCGCCGGCTAGCGCCGGCGTTGCGGCGGACCGGTTTTGAGCGGTGTCGCCTGTTTTCCGTTGGAGGATACAAATCCAGGAGACGGCACCACAACGAACTCCCGATTTTTGGTATTTCAAAAAGAAGGGCCGTAGTGCGTTCGCAATTGCGTTAAAAAACATGTTTTAGGATTGCCGTCATTAAATGTTATAAAGATGCCGCCTACAAAGCTTCTAAATTTCCTGATTTTTGACGTCACCGATCAAAAGAAGCGAGGAGGCGAGAGGCGGGAAAATCAAACGCCAAAAATAAAAAGGCGCGCGTGCGCGCGGGGAAAATTTTTTTTCGCGATGCGGTTTTTTTTGCGTGTCTATGGCTGCAACTTGCATCGTTTTAGACAATAAAAATAAATACGACCTTTGGGGTGTCAGTGCCCCTTTAATGTGGAGTGGGCGGATGCGCAATATATATTTTACATTATGCCCCAGGTTAAGCCCTCTGCCTTCCTATTCTGTCTGTAGTCCTCCATTTTTTGTTATTCTGTCAGTGCAATAAACTCTTGTTCAGTATGATCAGTTGGCAACAAGGGGGGGGGGGGGGGGGGTCTTAGGGACTTTTTGAGGCTTGCTAAAGTAAAGCTTGAGAACCCCCTATGTTACTCTATACCCTTTCTCACTGAAGAGAATAGGAAGTTTTGTACATAGTTCATATGCTGTAAAGAGTAGTTCCTTTTTTTTCTAATAAAATCACAACTAGCTGACCTTAAATGCACATACAAGTACCCTAGTTCACCCCAAAGAATGACACTCGTAATGCTACGCAGGGGTCAAACATTTCTTACCGTGGTTCTATAGGCGAAAAAAGTAGATACAGCTTTACAATTTTTGCAACTTATTACAGGGCTGACCAGACAGACACATTCAAAGAGTCATAAAAAAAGAACAGTTTCAAGTGAAGAGCTGCAACAAAAAGGGAACATGGCACTTTTTTTTTTTTTTAGTTTGTGACCACAGCGAATTTTACTCAAAATAAAAGCTCAATAGCTTTTGTTTTGTTTTTTTGTGAGTTTTTATAAGACAAGGATTGTGTCCGATGATCTGATGTGATGGCACAAAGCTGACAAAGTGCAAACGGCCTTTTTTCTGCCTGTCTTTCTTTTTTGAAAGTCTAGGGGGGGGGGGGGGGACAGACAAAATGGAACTGAGAGTTGCACTTGGGGCCCCAAAAAGCCGCATGAGGCTCACGAGCGAGCCGCAGTTGTTCTCAAGTGATAAGCATTATGTTTGATCACACAAAGGCTCTTCTATACTTCTCACTTTCATTCTGCTGCTACAGCATCCAGTAAGTATTATGCAGTAATGAATGCAGAATACAGCACCAGTATTAACGAAGTCACCAAAAGTGCTCAATTTTCCATACTGCTTCCTCTACATGGACAGGGAGCACTCCCCACTCAATGTTCCCCTGGAGAGTGCCCAATAAATTCCAGCCAAGTTTAAATGCACTGCCGTGGACAACATGCAGACAAAGTCTGCCATTACAAAGCTTGCACTGACAAGCTCGAAACGAATATGAATTGCTGACAAACAGATCTCCAAGTAATCTTGCAATTTCCAGCAACAAAGTTGCGTGCCAAAACTATCAAGAAACGTTGAAATGAGGGAAATGAAAACAAACATGAGCACCATATAATGCAAATGCATTGAGCCCCAGTACAGCATGGAGAGCATGCTGCACTGCAGCCACAAAGTGACCCACGCGCCGGGCAAGGCCCAAGCAACAGTTAGCATGCACATTTGAATGAATGCACCGGAATGGCATGTAGCTTTCGGAAACCAGAAAGAGAAGGACGGGCAAGACAGCGCAAGCGGCACTCACCTCTATGCTAAAGTATCCCCGGTCGACGTAGTCTCCGAGGAAGAGATACTTGGTGGTGGCAGGGGGCCCGCCAACCTCAAACAGCTTCATGAGGTCATAGAACTGGCCGTGGATGTCACCGCACACTGCACACACGGGAAAGCCAAAGGGTAGGATAGTGGATAAATTTGAAGCTTCAAATTAAGAACCCAGGACTAGGTTCCTTCACAAATTAAAATTACCTTTTTACTCTAATTTTTTAAGCTATTATAAAAACATTCTAAGATCAAATACAAAGGACGTGATCAGTTGATATTAAGTAACTGCTTTCTAGTCATGACAAAGCATTCAACTCGGTAAGTGGAGTCTTTTAAACAGTCATACAATACGTAATACCACTTTAAGGGTGCCCCAGATTATAATTCTTTTCTTGAAGAAACTTGGGTGAATCAAGTAGTCAACACAAGGAAACTTAATCTAGATTCACAACAAAGTATGAAACATTTAACAACAGAAACTTTTTGCAACAGACTTCTTTTTGCCTGCAGGACAAAAGAGTAGAAATGCTTTCTGTGTAACACAAATTCCTTACCTTTACTAAAAAAGAAAAACAACCTCAAAAAGGTGTGTAATTTTAACTCTATAGACCCTTCCAATTTCCATCACGCACGAGCACTGCCATCTTGGAATCACGTGACGCGGCTGGGGTTCGAACGCGTTGCTACACGCCTTGGCGAAGGCATTGTATTTCTGTTTTTCGTCATGTCTCACACCTTATTTTGTGAAGCGTCATTTGATGGTTATATTTATTACCTAATTATGTGCCATCATTTACTAGCGCAGTTTGTTTTGTAACATGCTGCAACTATTTTCACCTTCGGCACAAGGGAGCACAAGAATCTGTGCTAGCCCTGGGGTCTGCATTGAGCCCAATACTGATTAGCAACTCAGGTTTGCTCAGCGATAGTGACGGAACACTTCAAATAAGTACCGTGACAAATTTTTATGATTGCGCACTTAGGACCTTCAGGAAGGTGACAAGAATGAGTCAGCAAAAAAAGCTACTAATGTGCGTTTCCTGAAAACACCGTGATTGGCCTTCATAACAAACCGAAAAAAGTTAAAGGCTTGACTGCGTTGCGCTGCATTACGACGTGAAGCACAGCGCCTCCCACTGGCTCAGTGCAAGGGATCTCATAGTAACAGCTTGATGCAAGCAGCCTTAACACAGTCAAATGCAACTGTGTAAACAAGCCGTAAATTTGATTATATGGGGAACTTAAGTCATGAAGACAGGCAACAAAAATTTAACATTTAACTTGTGTTTTATCTGATCGTAAGAATAATTATAACGTCATCAGGTGATTTGTTTGTTCATGATACTACACCAAAATATGTCAGCCATTCTTAATTGTTTCTGCTATATAAACATTAGCTTCATCTGTTTATTTACAAATTTAAATAAACTGTACACCATGTTCATTCCCATGTCTGCAGTTTTCCAAGTGTTCTAAACAAATTTCTTAAAGGCCGACGACCAGTTCGCGCTTTCCACTTTTCACCCGCTTCCTCCTCTCCCTCCTTCTACTATGTCCACCGTTGCCTGTTTCCTCCTCCCCCACGGCGAGGAGGATGTTCTGCCTTGCAGAATCTCGAGTCTGGTCGTCGGCCTTTAAGGAATAAAATAAAATTAATTTCAATTATTTCAACAAAAAAGTTGGCACAACCCAACTGATGAAAACTGCCACAAGTAGCTTGAGCGTGCCTAACACCTGCAATGCACAAAGCTGAAAAGAAGTCGTCTGCATGAAAATTACTCGAGTGCAGCGTCATTAATGCCAGATAGGAAGTCAATGCGGGATAGCAATTTACTTTGTGGGGCTGGCGACACCGAAATGTATGAAGTGCACTTGTTTCAATAAAGATCTGTCTACAAAGTTTAGTGGTGCCTAGCACTCGACTTCAGTTAAACTCACACGAGGTCACTTCTGTAGTGTTTCTTTCAATTTCATTTCGCAAATTTTAAGCGAGACTAATGTCAGACTTCATTCTTATTCCAGAGTATGCCATACGCAAATGTCCTTAAAACTAGTGTTGGGAAGCACTTTAAGTGCATTGCACTTAAATACCACTTCAAGTAGGTTTAGAAAACTTTTACTTGAAGTACACTTTGTGCATACATACTTGTACTTAAAGTAAATTTTTCTGGTGCTTCCGAGGAAAGTACATACAACTGCCGATTTTCAAGTACATTCCCGAAATTTGGTTTTTACTTATTTATTTATTTTAACCCTGAAGGCCCTTTCGGGCATTACATAAGGGGAATGTGATACAAAGATTGTTACAACTAACAAAAAGCATCACGACATGATGCTTAGTGAACTGTGAAGGAATACTGGGGGGGGAATTATATTTTCACCAAAAAAGTGAGCAAACATCCAGACTTGTAAGGTACTCATTACAAGTAATCAAATAACTTGTAATCAATTACTTTTGAAGTCCTTTTGTAATTGTTTTATTACCTGTAATAGGTAGTAAATCACAATAGTTTAGCAGGGAATATAGTTGACGAAACTTCCCACCCCGCCAAGGATGGACTGTCGAAATGTTTCTTCTAGTGCTTAATTTCTTTAAAAAAAACAGACCAAGACAAAATGGTGCCTGCAAAAATCAAAAAGCGGTCAGTGAACTTGCGAGTTCACCTGTACTTTGCAATTCGGCACGTTGTTAATCAGGTTGTTGATCTGCCCTTTTCACTGCATATCTAACAATTTATCGCTTTGGTTTTTTTTTTTTTTTTTTTTCGGGGGGGGGGGGGGGGGAAGGGGGGGGGGGGGGGGGCAAGTTTTATTAAGTACAGGGTGTCACAAAAGAAAATTTACACGGTCTTTCTTATCGCAAAAATAAACTAGGCATCGCCGAACGCTCATTCTCCGCCCAATGGTAGCGCTAGAGGTCAAGACCAGATGGCAAAGTTTCAGCCCGATCCGATAACTTAATCAAAAGTTATAACTGATTTTCTAAAAATTTCAATGGGAAAATGGTGGCCGACGGAGTTTTCGAACGCATGGGGCTCTATGGCACGAGAAACCGAAAACGGGCAAAAATAGGCTCCATTTTCCCATTGAAATTTTCAGAAAATCACTTATAACTTTTGATTAAGTTATCGAATCGGGCTGAAACTTTGCCATCTGATTGTGACCTCTAGTTCTACCTTTGGGCGGAGAATGAGCGTTCGGCGATGCCTAGTTTATTTTTGTGGTAAAAAAGATTGTGTAAATTTTCTTTCGTGACACCCTGTACAACCACCCCCCCTAAAAAAAAAATCCAGGCAATACTTTTTGTTTTTCCAGGGTTAATTATTTTTTGTTGACAAAAGAAAAAAGTGAAGACGTTCACAAATCTCTGCAATGTGAATTTAGAGTGCAGCTCTTGAGGTATTTTGATTTTATTGCATACTGTACTAAAGAATTTGAGGAAGAAATATCTATATGCACAAATATACACAAACTCATCTGCTACGTCATGGCGCGGTGGTAGCGCCTCGGGCACACTTTTAATCTGGGGCTTTGGGCGAAGTCCTCATGTGAGACTGTATTCCTGCGTTGTTTTGAAAGGAACCTGACAAAAACCTGCCTTCGTCAAAACGCCGCGACTGGGGCCGTACCAAAAGAGTCGAGAAAAGCTTGAAGATCGGTTTTCATGTGCTCCGTTCATCCGAGAAAGTGGATATGTGCCCTGAAAAGGGGAAACCAGACGCCCTCGGACCATGTTTGCTTGGGCTCCCGGGAAGCACTTTGGTTTGAATTCACGGATACTTGTGGTCATCAGGTTTATTTGTTTTGTTCCAACATGAACGCCGGAAAACCGTCAAGTTGACTGGACCACGTGCGGACCACATTCAGTGCGTCTTCAAGTTCGAACGGCCGCCTGATCATTCTAACTGCCGTCTGCTCTTTCAAACGCTTCTGCTGTCGTCTGCTCTTTTAGACGACATTGGCCTGTAGACCAAATGTTGGCCCGGGTACTTGCGATAAGAAATAAGTGCAGGCTTCAAAAGACTTAAGTTTGAAGGTTGGTAAGCAGGCTCGGTGAGAACAGTAGATACAAGGAGACGTTGATCATTGTTACCAGTGGCCATCACCGACTTGTTATGCCTGATTCACTTGGTCCGAGCGATGTTGCGACTGAAAATTGCGAGTGAAATCTCATCAAGCGAATCAGGCTTTGGCGTACATTCTGCAGTGTCCACGCGGAATGAATCGCCGCATGTAACATTATTCACGCGAAGTTTTCCGGTGTAACGAGCCTCTGTAAGTTCGCTGAGGCCGCTGAAGTAATCAGACATTGCCAGGAAGACGTAGAATCAACAATTCGAACGCGAAAAAGGGCAGGGGGACTCGCAGAGACGCAGTCAACATCGCATTTCGATGGTTTGTTTATGGGCGACAGCTAACTTTTTGCCCTCACTCCATTGAAAATTTGCGGCGTCGATGGCATTTGCTAGGGGCAGTCTGGTTTGTTTGTAAAGATGAGTTGACGTATAGACCTTGTACTGCTGCACACATAATATAAATTATATATATATAATGTTTATATATTATATTTATTCTTAAAACACAATTGTAGCACAATGCATAATTGCACCCTCCTACGCATGTGTGCTCCATCCATCCATCCATTCATTCATTAACCCCTCCCCCTCCCCCCTTCCAACACTCGCAACATTGAATCAAAAACTGTGTCAAAGAACACACCTCAAACGGTATGGCAAGGACCTGACTCCCAAGTTGCCCTTGCACGACACTAAGCATGCATACAAAAAGAGAAAAGCCTACAAAACAGTCTTTCGAAAAGCAAATTCCAGACGCTCTCTTTTGCAAGGTCACGGTAGCAAGCTGCCATTCACCCCAGAAAGGTAAAAGTATTGTCGTGAAACAGAACCTCCCCCGGCACAGGATGCCAAACGTCACTCCCATTGTTTCCCAGAGCCCAGCAGCCGCGAACGAAAAAGACAACCGCAGCAACCAAACACGAAACAAAGCCAGTGCCATTGGCAATGACAGCGATGAAGCCGTTGTCCCCACCCCTTCCCGGGCGACCCGTTACCGAACCGGCCTGCACGGGGCAGACAGGAAGAAAGCAG